AAGCAATTAACCAAGTTGTCCGGCATGTCATTGGTCCCTCGACGCTTCGTCCGATTCTTCGGCGCATCGTCCTTTCCTGCAGCCTATTGCCCAATCGGCCAGTTGACTCCGCAACTCCGATATCCTTGGCACAATACCCGCTCTTCTTGGCCCGATGCCCGAGTCCACGACCCGAAGCCTTCTGTCGATACGTCAACCGATCTACCGGCCCGACGTCCAATCTTCTGACATGTTCCTCCGGCACAACATGATGTTCCTGCTTTAATTGTCTCATCCTAATCGAAGCACCCTACGTCACTCAAAACGCAGATTAAATCATAAACATATATCAAGGAGTTTCATCATCAAAATACGAGATTCAACAGAAACGATTTTATCTTACGAAAGTTTTTAAACCATTATGATTTTACCACTATACTAATTCACCCCCCCCCCCCCCCCCTCCCCCTCTTAGTGCCGACCCAGATCCTAACAGAACTATACCTTAGTGGCTCTCAATGATAAGGTAAATGACTCACCCGAAACCCCTTTACTTTACTATGAAATTACTTGATGCCTTTCATGAGTTATTTTCAAATTAGTTAGTAAAAAATAAAAAAATACAAAAAAAATTATCATGCTTCTTTTTTAGTTATTTTAAAAAAAAACTTAAAATTTTGAACATGACAATTGCATGTTATGTCCTAGCACTAAGCATAAAAAGTTAGATCCATTTAAAAAGAAAAATATATTATTACGACAAACAAAATGATTTTGATTGAAAATGCTTTATGTTTAATGAAATCATGCTTGATGTTTTAATAATGTAATGATGTAATGAAAATGTTAAAGGGTTTGGTATCATGCTTGATGATTTTATATTATGTATAAGGATTTGAAGTAATGATGATTTGAAATCTTATGTTTTGGAATTTTGTGTTACACTTTTGATTTTGATGATTTTTATGATAAATCTTATTTTTCAAGTTTAAACGATAATGCATGGTTTTGGCATAAAAGACAAATGCATGCTTATATGAAATAAATCACATAAATTGAAACAACTAAAAAGGGAATGCATTTTGAAAATTTCTCTATCTCTATCTTATCGATTTTTTAAAAAGAAATTGATAAATCTATTTATGTCATTTAGAATGCCTTGAAAGTGATTTTGATGATTTGATAAATTGAATTAATTGAAAATAATGATGAATGTTTTGAAAATAAATATTTGTATCATGCTTGATAATTTTACATTTTAAAATTATGAATGATGAGTTGAAGTAATGATAGTTTAAAAAATATTTACTCAAATGCATGAATCGATAATCTTTTTATCACATAAATCATGATTCCTTTGCTTGATAGCTCGATATTTCTTATGCATGAATCAAGTTCTTCTTTCTTCTTCTCGTTTACTAAAGAGGAGATTTTTTTTATGAATCATGATTTTTCTTGTGAATTATAACTTGAAATTTTTTAATATATGAATCATGATCTTGACAACTTGAGATTTTTTTTATAAATCAAAATATTTGATCTCCTAAGGTTTCTTTTTATTATTTACTAAAAGGAAGATTTGTTAACATAAATCATGTCTTTTGGTATTCATGACTTATTCCTTCATAATCTTTGATATTATATCCTTCATGATATGATTCCTTTGTATTTATGGCTTGTATGCCTCGTGTAATGATTGAAATATTTTACACTATTATATCGTTCCCTTCTTTTTTATAACAAATGGGGAGAAAGAATTGCTAGCTCTAGAAAAGCAAAACTTGCTAGCTTAATCATTTTAAAAGAAAAGCAAAGATTGCTAGCTTGCACATTGCAAAAGGAAGAAAAATTGTTAGCTTGTACATTGCAAAAGGAAGAAAAATTGCTAGCTTGTAATCTCACGCAAAATGCAATATTTCCCATCTCAAAAAGAAAATCTTACTAGCTTGCGCATCACAAAAATCAACAAAAATGTGCTAGCTTACACATTGTAAAGAGATGCAAAAAATTGCTATCTCAAAAGAAGTAAATATTGCTTACTTTCACAAATTTTCTAGTTTGCATGTTCTAAAGTGATGATATATGCAATGATGTTTCAAAAACTTAAAATTATGCAATGATTTGAAGTTGTGTCTCAAAAGTTGCTAGTTGCACTTCTCTTTTTTATTGATGACAAAGGGGGAGAAGATATGATGATATGATAATCATACATGATAGGATGTAATATACTTTGATATTTTGATACCATGATGATTTGAAATATTTATGATGATTCATACAATACTTATGATAATGATGCATGTAATGCAATGATATGCATATAATGTGTTGCATATGATCATGATTATAATTGCTTTAACTTGAATTCAAGGTTCTATCAATATGTAATATTGATAGGGAGAGTTTTTGTAGGAAAATCTAGGGGGCGACATCACATGCATAGCGAAAGAACATAAAACAAAATCGTTAAATTTCCCAAAGATTTGTTCGTCGTCATGCGAAGATTGGTGCACAAAATCTACGAAACTTAAAAGTCACGTGTGAGATAGATTATGTTACCTAGAAAGATCATATATCTCTGAATCCCTATAGATCTCTAAGAGATGGTGAAGAAGGTCAAGCCTCCTCCTCTCTAGCGGTGATCCATACAGTAGGGCTACGATGATTCTCCTCAAAGCTTCAGGCTAGCTATCTGAGGAGAAGAAGGGGAGGAGAATAGGAGATGGTATTCCCAAAGTTGCTCTAGCCTATGAACCATTGGTTTTCTCCTATTTATAAAGGTCCTCTATCAACTTAACCCTAATAGATCATGCCCTATTGGGTATTGGATCTCCATCCAACTATTTAAGCCTCTTAGATTAGTGGATCTCTATCTAATAATCTCTCATTGGCTCTTATTGGAACTCATCCATAGGATTCAATAATTCATGGGCTTATTATATATCAAATAAGATATATGCTCCAGTAGATATCTCATATCCAAACCTCTACCCATCGTAATGCCTACCATATGTGTATGACCCTCTAGGCCTAATATCGAGCTGGCTATGATATGTGGTTAGGCATAACCTAGCCCAAATGATTAGGTATGGTCTAATTCATATGGTTAAGCATGACTCAACCTATGTTGTCAAATATAACCCAACTCATGTGGTCGGGCATGACTTAGCTCATGTGGCCAAGTATAGCTTAGCACGTAACCCAGCCCATGTGGTTAGGTATGATCCAACACATGGATAAGCATGACCCAACGTATGTGACTAGATACGACACAGCCCATGTAGCTAAGTATGATATAACCCATGTGACAAGCTATAACTAAGCCTATGTAGTCAAGTACAACGTAACCCACATATCAAAAATTTATTATTAATTTTTTGATATATATGTTTTATAATGAATCGATATATTTTATATTAAATTATTGATATTTTTATATATTTCATAAATATTAAATATTATTTTTATAATTTTTCAAAAGTTCCTAATTTTAGTAAAAAAATATTTAGTGTTGTAAAGATAGAATTTGAATTCAAAGTCGATGAGATGTGACACTACTAAACACCCCACACTACCGCCCCCCCGCCCCCCAGCCCTGAGTAAGAATCGAGCTCAAAATGGGACCAGATCAAATAACGATAGACCAAGGTTCTAATGGTTGCTTTCATGTGCTGGTGTACGTGTGCTTGGGATGTGCTGCTGTGGTAGATGTGGGCTCTCAATCAAGTCTTGAAACAATTCATGGTAGAAACTTTCCCAGTGTATCAGTAAATCTGATTGCTTAATGCCGATCAACTTTCCGAAGAACGGCAAATGTACAGTGGCTCAAAGTTTTTGCTCGTTTATAACAGCTTTATGCAAACACATTAACAAGGATGATGTTCATTCTACTATTGAAGTTGTAAATTTTATCGTCACTTTGTATCGCCCAATAGCTTTTTGCATTGTATTACCGGGTTTTTTATACGTTGAACCTCTGTACTTTGATTATGTCCATTTCATAATTACTGGTGTCATTCTCTTCTGTTGGCCATTGTTCGTCTCCCCGATGGCTTCATCTGCTTCTCTTGTTACCTTCATGCGCCATGGGCTCAATAAAGGTGAATGATTCTTTGGCAACTTTGCCAAGCATATGATCGAGAAGTTCCTTCCCTTCACTGCTTTGTTGCACAGTGAACTTGGTCGTCTCTATGATGATAGGCTCGGAGAGGTGCATTGGGCAGTTGATTTACGTCGTTGGTTTGCTGTCTATGAACACCAAACATGTGGATTATTATTATGCACAAGATAAAGAGAGAATAACAACTGACACGGATGTGGAAGATTTTGACTCGCCCTAACTGCTAAAAAAACTCCGCACTCATCATTACACAATAAAGAAAAAGAAGAAATGGTGTCTAACTCTTTATTTATTTATTTCCCTTCTACTATAAAATGTTGAGTAAATCTGTGGATTGCTTTGGACCAAACATGAGAGGAGGATTAGGTCTGTTTCGATTCATGATCGATGCATTGCCAACAATTTTACAAGTTACAATGGCCAGGCTGTCCAGTCCTAGTGCACCATTTGATGATGTGGTACCATGTGATTGGCTAGGTGTAAGAGTAGTGGACCAAATCTATAAATACATTTTGAAGCCATCAAATAATGTACCATATTAGGTATTGCCTCGATAATGAATGTTCACAGGTAGAATGATGGCATCCAAATAGGAATACCATTTGCATCGGAAACCTCGCATTTTGAAACGCTTTACATTTACAGAATAAAAAACCAACAGTAGAATTGTGGATTAACAAGAAGGGTGTACAGTATCTACAGTATACCTGCTGACTCCTTGTCTCTCTCGTCTCATGCTGACACGGAATAAGCCTCGTGTATTTTCCCTGCAATGTCTTTTCATCTGTGCCCCAATTCTAGAGACGCAAGCAGATCTATCGTTTGCCATGACATTTTTCTCGATTAGTACACAGATTGGATTTATTAAGAATGCCATTCAAATCACCAAATATGTACATAATTGCAGAAACTTCTTTTATAGTCAGCTTCCTACTTTGTCTGGTTAATTCACAGACTACAGCAGGTCTTCTTTCTCTACACGAAGCATCACTTTCTTTCTTCCAATACGACAGAGTTCTCAGGTAAAGGAAAACTACTATGTAAAGTGACACTTTCCATTTTCCTGTCAAATGTTGTGTAATGGACGATTTCCAGATTGAACTGGAGTCACTAAGATACACCTACAGTCTACCACGTAACTCCATACAAAAAAAAGAAGGAAAGAAGCATAGGTCTCTAATAACATAAGTACTACTTTCGTTTCCAGAGAAAATAATACTCACCAGGACATGTGAAATGCACCATTATTGTTATAGCAAGATTCACATACAGGAGAAAGCATCACCTGTGATGAAAACACCAGGGAAAATATTACTACTTCTGATTCATGGCCCAATTCTCTAAGGTCTTGAGAAGCAGATTTCTCCTAAAAAGGCCAAAAGTCTTCACCACCAGGCTTCTTTACAAAGATCTGATTGTACTCAGGTCGTGATGTCTGAAAAGGGTTAAAACTTTTAGAGAGATCAATGATGAATAAAAATTCCACGGACACATACATGCAGTTTACAACTAAGACACACGTTGTATCCATAAATCATATGTTGGGATGTGACATGCTAATGCAACAAACACACACATAACTGTGACATTTCATGAATCAGCAAATATTGCTGATTTTAGAGTCCTTTCAATTCTGACGCACTCTATATCAAGCATGAATCATCTTAATCATTTTAAAAAAAAAAGGCAGAATAACAAATACATGAAATGACTCCAGCCAATAGACCTGGCAAATATAGACAGACTTCTATTTGTGGGCTGTTCCACCATAACCGCAGGTAGGGATGGCTCACCTTTGAACTTCTCGATATGCCAGTCAAGGTGCGTAGTGTAACAAACAAGTCCTTTGTATATGTTTGTCCATCAGCACTATTGCAGAATCAACTTTGCATCACTCAATTTAACATCACAGTTTTTTTTCACACGATGTCTTTGGAAAGACCACCCATCTACCTCGACTATTCAATGGCCTCAACTAAAATGACCACATAAACCTTGGCAAAAAGATAAGCGAAAGTGCAATGCAATGGAACTTTTGTGGTCAGGGTTTATTCCTCATTAGCCTAGTGGCAGATCAAATGATAATTCACATCATTTTCTGATGACTCAGCCAGTACTTAATATGTAAGCCACAAATGTTATCAAATTGTCCATATTTCAAATTATTTTAGTTGCAATAAAAATATAAAATAATGTGGAAGGAGGGTAGACTACTGAACTATGCAACCATGTCTATATTAATGTCAACTTACTTGTCTAACAACAATAGAATCCCATAAGTTAGTTTTCGGCTGAAGCCTCGGAATCTAGATGCACCTCAATGTATCGTCATCTTCTCCTCTTCGATGATGTATGCTCTTATGCACAATATGTAAATGTTGATGCCTCAAAGAGGCACCTCCTTGAATGAGTCTTTCCCTTTATACAAATTTTGTGAGGCTAGCTATTGAACAATTCCTTAAAAATGGCATCTTTACTACCAGAAAATGTTGATGAAAGTTTAAATAGAATTAATTCTAAATTCAAATTAGGGAAACAAATCTTACAAATTAAAAGTTCTATATTAAGACTAAGACTAAATATATAAGATGTACTATTATATATAGTAAGACAAGAACTAAGGATATAGTTAAATCGAATAAACAAGATGTTCCAATAGGTAAAAATTTCAAATATCTTACAATAATTATTCAACAAGATGAAGAATTTGATAAACATATCATTCATATAGTAAAAAATGGATGATTAAAGTGAAAAGAGAAGTTAAGAGTCTTCTGTGACCACCGAGTATCCTTAGATTAAAAGAAAGTTTTTACTAGACACTTGTTAAGCTATTAACTCCTTATGAGTCTGAGTGTTGGACAGCTAAAAAATTATATATATATATATTATTGTTAAGATGATAATACTGAGGTGGATATATAAAATTACTACAACAACAACAAAATCGTAAGTCCTGACTATTTAGGATCGGCTACATGGATCTTTTTTCGACCATTGAGATCCGTAAATATTCATATGTTAAGATTATTTAAATCTTTATTTATAATTTTTATTTATATATTTTTAGGTCTTTTTTCACCTTTCCTCATGTTACTAACAATAATCTTTTCGCCTCTTCTAATTAACACAACTTATGTCTCCTAATCAAATGTTCATATCATATTAAATGATACTCTCTCATTTTATCCTCTATTGAAGTGATAATTAATTATTCATAATTAAAAATATTTGTTTCTATCTTTCCTAGTAATTCCACACGTTCACCTCAACATTCTTATCTCAATAACACAAGCCTTTTTTGTATATGTTGCTTCTTTACTTCCCAATACTCAAATCCATAAATTATTACTAGTCTAACAATTGTTTTATAAAATTTTTTCTTTAGTCTCAAAGACACCAAATGATCACATGATTCTTAATGCCTCTCATCATTTTAACATTATGTTTTCGCTCTACAAATAACATCTTTATTAATCTCTTCATCTTATTGAATAATTGATCCAAAATACCTAAAGCCTTTACTTAAAGGTACTTTTTGCTCATCCAATTTAATTGTATGATACTATTTAATTCAAGTATTACTAAAACTATATCTCATATATTCAGTTTTAGCCCGACTTAATCTAAAGCATTTAGTTTCTACGTATTATCTTTATAGTTTATACCTCAAGCTTAGAATTAATTTCATTTATACTCTCATCAACTAAGATAATATCTGATGGAGAACCATCTAGCTTTATAAAGGATTTCAAAAAAAGTTATTCCAAGCAAAGAAATCAACAAAAAGTCATCAATTAGTTGGCCTAGAATATCTAAAAGTTGTAAGAAAAATTGAAGAGTCTTTTGATCTTTCTAGGTGCTAACCTAGGGATTCCTTTTGTATTAAGTGTACTCTTATATTAAGTGCACACCTTTATTATTAAGGTGTCCTAAAAGCCATATTTTGAAATTCTAAAAGGCATACATATTTCCTAGGAGATTTTCTTAAGAATCATTGCTTACATTGATTGTATCAAGACTCCTAAATCCCTATAAATAGTGGGGCTTGCCAATGGATCAAACATTTCATATTTGAATGAAAAAAGACTTGTATCTTCTCTCTTCTAGTCTCTTACACTCCTCTCTTGCTATCTTGCTCTCTTGCTTTCTCTTTAATTCTCTCTTCTCTCTATTCTGAATAACAACATTTTGGTATCAGGGCCATCAAAAAACCTGCCCTGTACCCTATTGGGTTCCAACTAGCAGCAAAAGTTTTGATCAACACTCAAGGATTCTTGCACCTCTAACGTCAACCCTTGCATGTGGAGTTGGATTTTGGGGTGACTATCCCTACAAAATTGGTGGACCACTTAGTTCTCGGTGCCTGGTAAGTTTTTTTTAAACTTCACTATATTTTTGTCGAAAAGAAAAATTATTTATTTCATTAGAATGTGGTTTTCATCGGTTCTCCCCCATTTTCTCCTTTTTTTCTATTTATCACCCTCTCTCTCCCCTTTAGCTACAATTACAATACCACTAGATTTTAAACCTTAAAAAGTTGTCCTAAAAAAAAATAAAAAATTAAGAAAAAAAGTGAGAGAACCATTTGAAACATTGCATTTCTACCTTGTGCATTGCAACAATTAACAACATTATTACCAAAAGACAAATTGTCGATAGTATGGGAATCATGTCTAAGCAAGAGAAACCAAACCAATCCTGATCAATCGCTAAACCAACAGAGTCAGATAGATACCCTTAGGACCAAACTAGGAGATCATGATACATGTGTTGAACCAATTATACGACTTAATGACCTAAGTCATAAGAGCTCTCCAACACCTTGAAAAACGACCTACGAATGAGGAGGTTGATGAGTTAGTTAGGCAACATGTCCATTCTCCACAATCCACAACTTCAAATCAAGGAATTTTGCTTACTGCCCAAGCTCCACTTCGAACGAATCTTAGGTCTACCTATAAGGCACTTATTCACAATCATGCTCAAACAATTCTTGATGACGAAGCTTTTGACCTTAATGATGAATTCCTAGAACCTACTAAAAATCAACAAACCCAAGTAATGGGCCAACGAATTAGGTTTGCTGACAATCCGAGAGAAATGGCTAAAAGAGTCAAAGTGGATGTGCTAGACTTTGATGGTAGTTTTGACCCAAATATGTTCGTTGACTAGTTAGATAGTATAGAAGACTACTTTGAGTGGCATGGAATAATGATATTAAACATGTATGATTTGCAACAATGAAAATGGTGGGGTTCGCTAGGAAATATTGCCAACATGTCCAACGTAATATTGAACACTGTCGAGAGTCTCTCATCACTCAATGGGAAGTCATGAAACAAAAACTAAAGAAAAAATATTTGCCAACCTACTTTCACAACCATCTAATTGAACAATTGTTAACCTTAAACAGTTGAATTTTAGTGTGGTAGGTTATTTAGCTTGATTTGAAGAACTTTCACTTAGGTGTGAAATAAAGGACTAAATCATCATTGTCCGAAGATTTGTTAATGGGTTAAGGTTTAACATCCAACGAGAAGTCTCTTTAGTTTCCCTAACACCATGGAGAAAGCTTCCCGACGAGCTCTTGAGATTAAGTATATCAAACTCTATCCAATTCGTCAAGCATCTTCTCAATTTCTCGACAATAGCACTATTTCTCAATCTATCCCAAAAAGTGGTTCTATCAAGTCAAAAAAATCCCCACTACTAGCAATAATCTTGGCCCAACCATGAATCATCCAACTCGTTCAACCACTGATTCTCATTATTGCCATAATAGAGGTCACATTGCCTCTCAATATCCTCAATATACCCTTATCGTAAAACAACCCAGGATCAAATCAAGTAAAACAAGTAGTTGAATACGAAGCCCACTCAGGTGACGAAAATGGACTAAAAATTGAAGATGCCCATGTTAATATTGTATGTATTATTCTCTTTACTAGTAATGATTCAAATTAATGGAGACGAAAAGTATCCTTCATACTTTTATCCGAAATGGGAAAAGAACTTGTAAGTTTGTTATAATGGGGTAGCACTATGAATGTGGCCTCAAAATCTGCTATCAAGAGACTAAACCTTAAGGTAGTCACATTCAACCCCATTTAAAGTAGCCTGGGTTGACAAAACCACTTTACCTATGACTGAGAGATGTTTGGTACCAATCAAAATAAGCAATTACCGGGATGAGAATTACTATGACTTCCTACCAATGCCATGCCCACATTCTTTTAGGTTGGGTTTGGTTATATGACTTTGATGTTATCAACCATGGAATAGAAAACACCTATGCTTTTCGATACAAAGGCAAAAACATCACCTGCGACCAGCAAAATCATCATAAAAAGTCAAATTAGGAACTCCCAAGTCTCTTCCATAAGCCCCAACTACCAAGGGACTCTACTTACTGAATCCTAAATCTTTTAAAAT